GAGCCGCCACCGGCTGGGCCAGGCAGACCGGCCTCCACTTCGTAGGGATCAGGAGAGAACAGGGACAGAGGAAGAAAATCTGAGTCGTGCACGAGGAAGGGGTGGGCGTCGCAGGAGCCACGCCCACTTTTCTTGTTGGTGGCAGCAAGAATATGTGTCACCGTCTGTTGTTTGGAAAGAAATGGCAGCTTTAACTAGAGAGGGATGTGGTGAGAGCAGCATTCATTGTGCTTCAGCTTTGAGTTCATCTCGGTTAAGATCTGGATGAATTTTAGAGAAAAATCACCTGGTAGGCAGGATACCCTGGTTTGATTCCTGGGTTGGGAAGATCCCCTGGAGAAGGGATAGCTGGCTCAGCTGGTAAAGAATCTGCCTGCAATGAGGGAGACCTGGGTTCGATCCCTGGGTTGGGAAGATTCCCCTGGAGGAGGGCATGGCAACCCACTCCAGTGTTCTTGCCTGGAGAATCCCCATGGACAGAGGAGCCTGGCGGGCTACAGTTCATGAGGTTGCAAAGATTCGGATAGAACTGAGCAACTAAGCACAGCACAGCACCCGGTATGTTCTGGTGGGCTGTTTGGCAAGACCAAAGAATGTCATTTTCCTTCAAATGGATGCCTAAAAAATAAATACTGCTTGGACTGAGTTTTGGTTAACGGGATACTTGGCTGAATACAGCCCGTGGATGTGGGTTACAGTCTGTGCTGTTCTGTTTTTGTCTTTTGGATAATTATTCAAGCTGTGTCCTTTGCCTGAGGTGCTGTTTCTCCTCATTTTTTTTTTCACCTGGAAATTTACTAACACTTACCTAATACTGTTTTCTGGCCAGGCATTTTCTAAGTGCTTTTTGAAATATTAACATCCCTCTAACATCAACTTTTTTAATCTTTGCAGTATAGCTATCTGGTTGGTACTATGATTATTCCAGTTACGCTAAAGGGGAAGCTGAAATAACCCACCACACTCAGATCATAGGTGGCAGATCCAGGATTTGAGCTAGGCCAGTGGAGCGCCAAATGCTATGCTCTCAACCGCTAAGCTACATAATTCTTATACTTTTGTTGTGCCTTCAGGTCTCTGCTTAGATTTTCCTGGCCAGAGATGCTATCAGCCTTAAACCTTGGATGATTTGATCCTTTTCAGATCTCTTTAGTACCACTTAATTGCCCTCCTTAGGGTGTGGGAATCACAGAGTGTTGGGTTCCGGTTTCCTTTTCCAGAGTTGTTCCCTGTTCTGAGGCACGGAGCTTGGTAGCCCACAGCCTCCGACTGCAGCACCTTCAGGACCGGCCTTGGCTCTCAGCTGAGGCCACCTCTGAAGCCCCAGCAGAGGCCTGTGACAGATGCCCTGAGGCCTGGCCTTTTTGTCCAGCTGTGTCTGCTCTGAAGCGCCCCCCTGTGCTGACTGGGGCTGTCAAATTTGCGTCACTGTTGGAACCCTCTTCTACCCCACCTCCCACCCAACCCACGACAGCTTCTTTGATCTGCTTCCTTCTTCATCCTTTTTCCCTGAACTCATGAAAGGGCAGAGCCTGGTCCTTGTAGCTGCGGTGTTTCTAGTCCGGAGCTCTGTGCTTTGTAAGATGCCCTCTACTTGTGGTAGGGTAATATTTTTAAAACAAAAGCAAAGTGAGGAAACTTCCTGGTGGTCCAGTGGCCAAGACTTGGCCTTCCAACGCAGAGGGTGCAGGTTTGATCCCTGGTTAGGGAGCTAAGATCGCATATGCCTCTCAGCCCCCCAAAACCAAAACATAAAATGGAAACATTGTAAAAAGTTCAATAAAGACTTTATAAATGGTCCACATCAAAAAAACAAAAGAAGTCTTTAAAAAAACATGAAGTGAAATTTTTTTTTTGGTATTTTGCTACTTACTGTCATATTTCAAATTGCGCCTGCTCACCCTTTTGGTCACTCCCTACCCCCAATTTGAGCATGGTACTGGATGCCCATTGCCTCAGCGAAAAGTTGAGACAACAGAAAACACAATTGAGCCTCAATTTGGTTTTTGAAATTCAAAACCCTACATCCTGTGACTCAGGTCATGGACTGTATATTTGGTATTTATTGTGAATAATAGTATGCTTTCATCCCCTTGAGTTAGAAAAAGGGTGTCCAGGCTGGGAGGGAGGGGAAAGATGGAGATATGAAAAGAGAAAGAGAGGCGGGGTCTAGGGGGTTTTTGCGCTGTGGAGGTTTTGCAGATATACGGGGGTGTGTCTCCCTCTTCTTGTGGTTTTGTCTCTACGCGCGGTGTGGTTTGTGTGGGCCGACACTGTCCATCTCTCCTTCATTGAGCGCTGGGGACCACATGGGCTATTCTTCCTGGCAAAGTCTGGCTCGGACCTCCTCTCAAACACAGCCAGCATACCTTGCGTTGAACATCTGTCCATGGGGCCCTGAGATTTGCTGGGTCACAGAATGACTTTCTCCTCTGAACAACCTCTCCCTCCATTATCCCAGGCAATGGAGGGTAATGGAAGTGGAGGTTGGGGCTCTGAACGTCACTGAGATGGGCGGTCATCAAGAGGATCAGAAAGCTACCCACAGGCTGTTCCTGGGTGGGGCTTAACAGGATCACTCCAAGTTGGCCACTGAGCTATGGTAGTTGTGAAAGATTCTCCTGGTCCCTGAGTTTCTAGGTTTATTTAGATCTTGACTCAAATGTCACTCCTCAGAAAAGACTTCCCTGACTTGGATTGAAGGCTCAGTTATTCTCCAACTTGTAAGTCTATTTCCTCTCACTTATTCTATTTCCTCCCATCAGAATTTGTCTTCCTGGGACTTGTTTGGTGTTTCAGTGGTTAAGACTCTACACTGACAATGCAGAGGTCATAAGTTCAATCCCTAGTCAGGGAACTAAGATCCCTCATGTCATGCAATGTGACCAAAAGATTTTTTTTTTTAAAGATAAATAAAAAGAAATTGTCTTCCTTATTTATTTACTTGTTAAGTATCTTTGCCCTGCCTGGAAGGTGAATCTCACAACTGTAGAACCAGGTGCACTTGTTCATGGTTCCATACCCAGTGCTTGGTTCAGGGTCAGCCCCACCCTCATCCTGTATGAAGCACCCAGTATTCTGGAAAGAACAGATGAACACCTGCTTGTCCTCAGAATAACGTCCAGGATGCAGTGTGTTACTGTAGACGTCTTGTTGGCAAATGTATGAATGGAATCATTCAGAGGAACGTGAAATGGAAGGGTGGGGAAAACCTCTGAAATGTTGGCTGGGGTCATACCAGTCATAGGAATGGGGAAAAGACCCTCTGAGCTGGATTGTGAACTTGAGAGATGGAAATGATCCACGTGGACGTCTCTTGCTTGAGGTACCAGAGGGTGCCAACCTACAGCGAGGTGGACCTGGGCCAAGTTTGAAGGTAGAGGGTCCTTCCCTCCGGCTTTTGTTTCAATCAGATAAAATTCCTGATCTCTTAATTCGGTTTATGGTCTTTGAATAGCTTCTTTGCTGGAGCCACAAATCCTTCAAGGGCCATCCCGAATGGGGAACGCCATTGGCCTGCTTCCTGTGTGGGCAGTAAATCATTCTCCTGGGCTCCCTCTGGGCTTGGAGCCACAGATGGGAGCTGCTCGCCAGAGTTAACCCACAAGTCAGGGGCACTCTGGGGAGATGGGTCTTCTCTGTGGGAAGTGGTCAGGATGGCTTAGGGCAGCCTGAGGGAAATCTGTGTTCTCTATTTGGTTTAAGGGTGTAGGACTCTCTCCCATCCCCAGACCTTGGTCAAGGCAAAGAGGAGAACCCAGTTAGAACCTGGGGGCTGGTTTGTCATAGAGAGTCAGAACAAGATCAACAGCCTAAGAAGTAAAGTTGAGCAGCATTAATGAGAATTCAAGGGGCCTTAATGAAAGTATATTTGGAACCCTATATATTCCTGAAGTAATCTGTGTTTTTAAAATAAAAATAAAAGGGCACAGACAAGCCAAAAGAAACAAAAAAATACATGTGTGGATAATCCCTCTACCTAGACATAACATCATTAATGAGTTGTGGTTTAGCTTTCCAATAATTTCATGCATAAGTGTATATGTGTTTTATTAAAATGGACTTATATAATATATACTGTTGTGTAACCTGTCTCTCTTACTCAGCATTAAGTCGGGATATATTTCCTTGAAAATAAATCGAGAGCTACCTCATTGATTTTGATTGTTACATAAGATTTTAACATATGGATGGCCTGTGATGAAGTAGTAGTTTAACCAAATTGCTATTGTTGACATTCAAGCTATTTGTAATTTTTTGCGCCTTGAATAACACTGCAGCAAGCATCCTTTCATATCCTTCTTTTCATACGTTTCTGCATATTTCTTTGTAATAAATGAATTTAACGGGAATTCCTGCATCAAGGATATGCACATTTTAAATGATTTTTTGATATATGCTGCCAAGAGGCCCTTCTTAAAAAACGTATATCAATTAAATTCTCATGAGAAGTATATATGAGAAAATGCCTTGCTAGAAATAACTCTAAAAACAATGTGAAGCGAAGTGAAAGTCACTCAGTTGTGTCCGACTCTTTGCGACCCCACTGACTGTAGCCTGCCATGCTCCTCCGTCCATTCTCCAGGCAAGAATACTGAAATGGGTTGCCATTTCCTTCTCCAGGGTTAAAAGCAATATATACTTGTTAAAAAATACAAAAACATGAACTGAAAGTTACTTGCTCAATTTTCCTTCCTAGAAAAGATCATATTTTTATGATCTTTTTTTACTGATCAATTTTTACTGAATTGATATCAGATCCCAATTTCCATTCAATCTTGATCCTGACAGACTAACTCCACCCTTTTCATAAGATTTACTTCTGAACTCTAAGTTCTGGGAAGGGCGAGGCTATATTTCTTTTGTTCATTTTTGCATTCTAGTATCTATTTCAGGGGCCTGGCACATGGATATTTGTTGTATTAGTTATCAATTGCTACGAAACAAATTACCCCCCAATTTAGCACTTTAAAGCAATAAACATTTATTATCTCACACGGCCTCCACTGAGTCAGAAATCCGGGAGGTGCTTAGCCAGAGGGGTCTGGCTCAGGGTCAGGGAGTCACCTGGGGCTGTAGACTCATCTGAAGACTTGTCTGGAGCTGGAGGATCCAGTTCCAGGGCCTTTCATTCGCACGGCTGGCAAGGTGTGCTTGCTGTCAACAGGAGGCCTCAGTTCCTTGCCGTGTGGATTTTCCAGGCAGCTGCTTGCACATCCTTACAACATGGTGGCTGGCTTCCCCCGGAGAATCAATCGAAAAGAGGGGGCGAGGTGAAAGTCCTAGTATCTTCTATGACCTTCCCTGAGAAGTCATACCTTGTTATTTCTCAGCAAATTTTATTTCTGCTATTAATTCAGCAATACAGACAGACCTCAGAGATATTGTGGGTTGGGTTCCTGATCACCATGATAAACAGGTCACATGAGTTTTGTTTCCCAGTGCATGTAAAAGTTATGTTTACATGATACTGAAGTCTATTAAGTATGCAATAGCACGCAATCTAAAAAAAAAAAAAAAAGCACACACCTTAATTAAAAAGTATTCTAGGAATTTCCCTGGCAGTCCAGTGGTTAAGACTCCATGCTTCCAATGCAGGGGGCATAGGCTCAACCCCTGGTCAGGGAACTAAGATCCCACATGCCGTGTGGCAAGGTCAAATATTTTTTAAAAAAGAAAGAAGTAAAAATTCCATTACTAAAAATTGCTTATCATCATCTGAACCTTCACTGAGTCTTAGTAGTAACATCAAAGATCAGTGATCACAGATAACTATAATAAATATGTGAATGATGAAAGCATTTAAAAGAGTGCAAGATTTACCAAACTGACATGGAGACAGAAAACAAGCAGACGCTGTTGGAAAAAATGTCACCAATAGACTTGCTTGACTTTGGGTTGTCACAGGCCTTCAGTCTGTAAAAAAAAAAGAAATATCTACAAAGTATAAGAAAACAAGATCTGCCTGCATTTTACTGGTTACTAAGATCAGCTCTATTTCATGGGGGAGGGTCCTACAGAAGGGCATTCATTTCAGAAAGCAAGGCTCACTGGGGACTGTCTTGGGTGCTGGCCATCATGTTTATTAAAATAAGCTGAAAACATGATTAAGAAAATGAATTATTGCCTTGGATTAGAAGAGACTAATGGCCTTTCCCTTGGTTTCCAGACTGTTCTATGTTCGCGAAGGGATAATTATCAAAGAACCCCGTTTGAACTGAACTCTCTAGTTGCTGCGGAAGCTGCTGGTCTGAACTATTTTTGTCTTGAGTCAGGACAGGCAAGCGAGGGCCCACAACTCCCAAAGCCCTCTGGGAAATTCCCAGAGGGTTGAGGTCTTGAGGTTCAGACCACAGGCCCAGAGGAAGGCTGGTTCTTACATCTCTAAGGAATGCCAGGCCCGCTTGTCAATCAAGGCAGCGTGGGTCGTTTGGCCAAAGGGAGGTCACGCTCATCATTGAAATACTCAGTAGTTTACGACCTCCATAAAGCTATTAGCCCCGGGAGATGAGGGGAAAGTGGTTACCAGCACCCTTTGCCTCTCTTGGGTCCATTAACATCAGGGTTGTAAACTCGGTCTTAGGCCATGGGTGACTGGTTTTATTATCAATCAATTACTGTGCTTGTCAGCAAGTCCAAGCATCCTGCCAGCATAGAATCTGGCCCAGATACTGCTGGGCAACTCTGGTCAACTCACCTCTACCCTCTGGACCTCAGTTTCCCCATCTGTAAGGAGTTGGACCAGATCAGAGGATCCTGCACTTCTCACTACCAAAGTCTACCTCCTTTATTTTACTTTGAATGTGTTTAGTTCATGTTTTGAAATGATTTCCCTGGCCATCAGCATCCCTGAAATGCCCATTTATCTTCCCCATTTAATGTAAAAGACAATTATCTTTATATAAAAAGGAATAAACAGGGAATTCCCTGAAGGCCCAGTGGTTAGGACCTGGTGGTTTCACTGCTGTGGCCTGATTCAGACCCTGGTCAGGGAACTAAGATCCTTCCAGCCGCATGGCACGAATAATAAAAAATAAAATAAAAAGGAATACACAATTAGTGATCAAAAATTCTAACCCCAGGTAGGGCTGCACCCAGAGTGTATGGAGTCCTGGGTAAATATGTTTTGCAGGGCCCTGCCTATATAAATAATTTGAGCTACGCAAAATCAACATGTCAGGACCATTCTGGTGGCATGATTCCATGAAAGAAATACCACACAGGTCTGGGGGGTGGTCTGTATGCTAGGTTGCCCTCCTGGACCTGGAACCAGCCATGGGGTCCTGTGATAACCCTAGAAGTGCAAGTTCTAGGGTTCCTCAAAGCATCTTCTTGACCTCACACATGGGTTCAAGGGTCAGAGAGAGCCAAAAAGGGAATATCAGAGACTAGGACCCAAGTAGGTCCCGTCCAGACTCAGCACCATTTGCTCAGACAGCAGAACCAGTCCTGGCTGGTCCCTGGCATCAGGGGGCACTTAGGATATTTCAAGGAAGGGGGTCCAATGCTGGGGGCATCTGGGTCAGAGTCTCCTCTTGGTCAGCTCTAGGGACCATCCTGACCATGGGATTGCCAACGTTCCCGTGATAAGTTGTAAACGTTCTGCCCCAAAGTGAAATAGACACATTTTTTGTTCACCTGTGAAGCCAAATCACTGGTAAATGAACAATTCTGTTCTTCTGTTGGAAATACAGAACAAAGTTGAGGCTCAGCCTTGGTACCTTCAGGCTTTCCAGGTGGCGCAGTGGTAAAAAAAAATCTAACTGCCAGTGCAGGAGATGCAAGAGAGGTGAGTTTGATCCCTGGGTTGGAAAGGTCCCCTGCAGAAGAAAATGATAGCCCACTCCAGCATCCTTGCCTGGAAAATTCCATGGACAGGAGCCATGGAATTCCTGCCAGGAGCCTGGAAGGCTACAGTTGATGGGGTTGCAAAGAGTCAGACACAACTGAGTGCGCACGCATGCATGCACTTGGTACCTTCGTAGATTTACAGAGGATAAAAACTCCAGTCATTATACTCACTTATTGTATTCATTTATTGAGCAGCAAATCTGCCCAAGACCCTTTACACATACTATTTTCTTAACCTTTATAAGAATTCTGTAAGGAGTCCCTCTATACAGATGCATAAACTGAGATTGACAACACTTTCTTCCGGCTGAGAACTGTAGGAGTAATTCATCTCCAGCAATTATTCTGTAATAATTTAATCCAGTGTTTATTGAAGGTTTTCTGGGTACCAGGCATTGCTTCAGCATTTCAGTCCTTAGGGCTACACTTGGAAGTAGGAACTGGCCTCACTCTCCCATTTTACAGATAAGTAGACTGTAGAGAGGTTACATCACAGGGCTAATGTCACAGAGCTGATATGTGATGGACATGGGATTGAAGCTCAGGTTGTCTAGCACCACGACTGAGTTCTTAGCCATTAAGCCACACTACCTTTCTCTGACCTCACTTTCCCAAGATTCTACCCCGAGGAATATCTGTTGAGCAGGTCTTCTGGAAGACGTGCTCGGACAGCCATGTTTGGAAGTAGAAAACTAACCTTTGAGTTCCTGGAGATAACTCACTCTGCTTCTCTGAGCCTTGGTTTCCTCCTTGGTAGAATGAGGATAATCTTACCTTGCTGGAGGCTACTGTGGAGATAAAATGAGATTGGGTGTGCAAGGTTCTGGGTTTAGTAGGGCCTTGCTATGGGACTTCCCTGGTGGTTCAGTGGTTAAGACTCAGCCTTCCAATGCAGGGGATGCAGGTTCGATCCCTAATCTGGTAGCTAATATCCCACATGCCTAGTGGCCAAAACACCAAAACATAAAATAGAAGCAATATTGTAACAAAGTCAAGGAATGCTTTGAATATGGTCCACATTTTTTAAAAATCTTAAAAAAAAAAAAAAAGAATAGGGCCCTGCTAGCCTTCTTATTCTTAGCCCAAACTACCCAAGAAAGTAATGCCTGTCTTACGACAGTGTCAATCTTTCTGGCACGTTCAAGATGGAATTGGCTTCTGGGTAAACAGCTAGGGGATGCATGCTTATGTCTAAGTATGTCAAAGGAGATACTGGTACATCACTTGGCAAGGGCTGGCATACGGAGAAGTAGGATTGATTGGAGATTAGAAGAATTTAAGCATCTGTGTCGCAGGTTGGGTGTTCTGGAAGCAGGCATTGAGTGGCCTGTATCAGGCCATACTGGCCAGGCTTATATAAGTTTCCATCCTGCTCAGTTGCCACTGGAGGCTGTCCCTAGAAGGACATGACCTTGGGCGAGGTGGCAGCTGAGAGAGACCTGGGGACTCACTGCTGGGGGTCGTTTTTTGACCCCATTCCTACAGCTGGACAGCAAGTCCTTCCTTGAAGAAGGATCTGGAAGGCACATCTCCTTGTCTACCAAACCTGCCAGGCTGGTGGTGCCAAGGGCGTTGGGAAGGAGGTGGTGAGGTCACTGGGCTGAGCAGACAACCACATGTTTAGACTACTCTGGGTCCCCTCTGACTCCCCCTGCCCGAGGCTGGATACATTATGTCTTGTTGTCTGAGTCCTGCCAAGCCATCAACGGTGTCCCCATAACTCCTCCCTATGTGGCTGCCAACATGCCCTCATCTCCACAGAAACCAGGGTGCTGGTAAGACAGTCATCACGGAGCCAAACTGGGAATTTCAGGAGTCCTCGACTAGCTTCCCCATGGTCCAAAGACTTGAAATGAAAGTTTCTGAGACTGTTTGTCCTTCAATACCCAACATGCAAGGATGTAAGAGGTCAACCCGTGGCCGCATAAGGGTTGCAAAAGCAGGCTGCTTCTGGGGAGCCATAGAGTTGTTAAATCACTAAGTCGCGTCCGACTCTGCAACCCCATGGACTGTAGCCCACCAGGCTCCTCTGTCCATGCCATTTCCCAGGCAAGGGTACTGGAGTGGGCTGCCATTTCCTACTCCAGGGGATTTTCCCCGACCCAGGGATTGAGCCCACACCTACCGCATTGTCAGGTGGATCCTTTATCACTGAACCACCAGGGAAGCCCAACCATAGAGTGGGAAGAGCTGAACCCAAGGCCTTCAGGGATCCTTTGGCGTTCACCTTTATCTGTCATCTTTTGTGAAACAAAGCTCTTGCTCATTTTGTGTGCGTGTGTGTGCTGTCATGTCTGACTCTTTTTGACCTCATGAACTGTAGCCTGCCGGGCTCCTCTGTCCATGGAATTTTCCAGGTAAGAATGCTGGAGTGGGTTGCAATTTCTTATCCCAGGGGATCTTCCCAACCCAGGGATTGAACCTGTGTCTCCTGCATCAGCAGGCTTTCTTTACCAATGGCCCCCCTGGGAAACCCTTGAGACCTAAATCACAGCTAGAAATTTAGAACTGTCTGTGGAGCATTTAACTGGCAATTTGGGAGTCTGAGACCTGGATTCAAATCCAAGATCTGCCAGATATTTGCTGTGTGACCATGGGCAAGCCACTTCCCCTCTCTGAGCCTCCACTGTCTCTTCTGTAAGACAGGGCTCATAACCCCATCTTTCCAGGTCACAGGGCTATTGTAAGGATGAAGACAGCAGGTGTGTCAGCTGGCCTCCTGAGTGCTGGCTTCCTTAACTAACACTCTTCTTATTCCCCTACTATGACAATAGAAACTCTTTTATTTTTTTCCCTTCCCCGCTCTGCAAGGTAGTGAGAGTGATGCATTGCAACCCTGTAATCCATGCATGAGCCATAAACAGCCATTTCAAATCCCATTTCCTCCTGTTGGGAGGATAAACGAAGACACTTACCTTCTCAAAACCAGAGACACAAGACAAAATAAATAATAACCAAGTGCAATATTTAACCTCATGATGCCCCTGAGAGGGGAGACCGGTAAGAAGGATTAGAAAGCGATTCAGAAATACGAGTATACTGTCTGCAACCACTTCTTTGGCCAGCTTTTTTTTCCCTCTCTTTCTCCTTCCCCCACGCAGATCTCAAGAGTGAGCGAGCCAGACCAGAACTTCTTAAAGTACCACAAGCAACATTTGAGGGTTTGCTCAGGATTAAAGAAAGGCTGATCTGGCCAGAGAAGCTTGTGCCTGGAGGCCTTCCAGCCCGGCTCTGCGGCTCTGGCACACGGGGGTATGGTTCTGATCAACACTTCAGCTTGGAACCATGTAGCCCAGCTCTGCATTGGGATGTGTGGATCACGGGGTCTGATGGTGCCCGGGCTGGGGGGAGACGGGGACGCGTGTTTCCACCGGCCCAGACTCATTAGCGCAGTTTGGAAAATGTGCCAGCTCTGAAGATCCTTCCTGAAATTCCTGACTTTTCCCAACTTACTCTCTGCTGTCTGGGAAGCTGGGGTTCAGCACAAACCTCCCTTCTTGGACAGGATCAAGTCCACTACCTTTGGGGCAGGGAAGTGGATGGAAAGAATTTGGCCTCTGTGGCTGGCTGATTGTGAGCTCTGGACCCCATCTGATCCTTTCCATGCAGACAGGTGGATGGAATAAGCTTTATTCTTCTCCTTTTGCCAGATGGGAAGACTGACATCATGATGACGGCGCGGATGATAACGAATGTCGGCTGAGCCTTTTCTCTGTGCTGGGCGACATGCTAAGTGTTTCTCAGATGCTTTGTCTCCTTCAAGCTCATTCATTTTTTCCATTTTACTAACGAGCTCACTGAATCCCAGAAAAGTAAAGCCACATGCTCTAGCTGGTAAACAGCGCAATGAATGTGCTATGCTATTATTCATAATCGCAGGCATTCTTTTTAAACCTTAGGCACTAGAGGTTCTGATTACCCAAGGAGAACACGACTCCTTCCTCCAATGACATATCCATGTGGCTTAGACTAGCAAGATGTCCAAACACTTTTTTTCTTTTAAATAATCTGTGCCAGTGACTCGATGCTGTTCTTAAAACACTACCCCCAAGCTTGTGTGTGTGTGTGTGTGTGTGTGTGTGTGTGTGTGTTTGTGCACGCGCTCAGTCGCTCAATCATTTCCAACTCTTTTTGACCCTGTGGGCTGTACCCAAAAGGCTCCTCCCTCCATGGAATTTTCCATGCAAGAATACTGGAGTGGGTTGTCATTTCCTACTCCAGGGAATCTTCTGAGGGTGTGTCAAGAGTGTGTCCCACCAGTGACAGTGTGGTGGGGGTTCTAGGGCTTGGCCATTTCCAGGCAAATCCAGACTGCTCTGATGGGTGATATTGCTCTGGAACTCCACATTGAGTCGCCCAAACATGATCATATCAGGTCCAAGGGATGAGGGATAAGAGCTTATCATTCAGTGGGGAAAGTAACAAGCCTGTGCGGGTCTCTTCTATGATGGACACATCGACATTTTTTTTATCAATGCACAGCAATACATATATATAAAAAGTTCATATGGCACAAGTGCATACCTCCATGAACTATCACAAAGTTAAGCTCACCCAACTATTTACCATCCAGATGAAGAAATAAAACTTTACCACATTTCAGATACTCCCCCTGCATCCCTCTTCCCAGTTTCCACCCACCTTCCTGCTCAAAGTTAACTGTGATTCCAACTTCTAATGCTAGAATTGTGTTTGGCCTGTTTTTGTACATTATATAAACGGTATCATAAAGATGCACTATTTTGCATCTGGTTGTTTTTTACTTTATATTATGTTTGAGATTCATCCATGTTGTTGAGTGTGGCAGTATTTATTAGCTTGCATAGCATTCCATTATATAATTTAACAATTTAATTGCCCAGCCTATTATTGATAATATCTATACTTTTTGATTATGCACCTTATCATTAAGAAATCTTTGAACATATCCAATATAGAATATGTATGATATATAATAGTATATGCATATGCATTGTTGTAGCAGTAAGCTTTGTACATTCTAAAACATAAGAAGAGATAGGTAGAAATTTTGAAAAATGAGCTAATCTAAAAGTTTTATGATTTTCTTTTTGCATTCAGTAGATCGTGCATGCCTCACCCCTTACTTTTTGGCTCCTGGCTTGAGGGACAGAACTCTCAACATATACATACTTAAATGGGCTTCACAGGTGTCTCAGACAGTGAAGAATCTGCCTGAGACTCAGGAGACATGGGTTTGATCTCCGAGTTGGGATGATCCCCTGGAGAAGGGCATGGCAATCCACTCCAGTATTCTTGCCTGGAGAATCCCATGGACAGAGGAGCCTGCTGGGCTACAGTCCACGGGGTATCGAAGAGTCAGACACGACTGAGCAACTAACACTTTCACTTTTCACACTTTCACATTCTTAAATAGGAGGTCGTGGGATAGGGAGACTATCATAGGCTTTGAAATGAGTTGGATCTGGACTGGTATCTATGTGAATCTAAATCAGTAAGGGCAAGTCCTCGTTTATGGAGGGCAGAGTCTCTGCCTTGCTTTCATCCAGTAAATATTTCCCATGCATGTATTATGTGGCAGGCACAATTTTAGGCACCAGGAAGCCAGCAGAAACCTGCAATATCACATAGCAAAGAGCATCACTGTATGATTCTGATTCTGGCAGAAAGTGGAGAATTGGATGCAAAGATCCTCTTGACTTGACCGGCCCCAGGGACTGGCACCGGCATGCATTTGTAGGTGCTAAGTTGCATTCAGTTGTGTCTGACTCTTTGCGATCCTATGGACTGTAGCCCATCAGGCTCTCCTGTCCATGGGATTCTCTAGGCAAGAATACTGGAGTGGGCTGCCATGCCCTCCTCCAGGGGATCTTTGCAGGCCAGGGATCGAACCCACGTCTCTTGGGAAACGGACCTGTGTGTTTCGGTAATATTTGAAAAAGCCTTGTATTGGAAGCAGACCGCAGAGCCTGCCCTTCTCTGGTTTTCCCTGCACTGGTCCCTCCAGTGCAGCACTCCTACTCCAGGGCTCTCCCGCACCCACCCTACCGCCCTCCCCCAGCCTCCTCTCCACTGTGTGGTGGGAGCGGGCTGTCTCTGGTGGCAGTGGGAGGGAGTCAGAGGAGATGAGGGAGGCATGGATGGAAGGGCAAAGGGCAGAGCGGTGGAGATTTCAGAGACCCCGTGTTTCCATCAACCCTCACCCCCCAGCACCTAATACTGCACCGCCTCTCCCTCCCCCTCTCCGGGTTATCTGGACGGGGTTTCTAATTGAAATTGAAGACCTGTTTAGCTCTGTGCCTACATGGTCTGCTCTCAAATGTGGGCTGCCACAAAGTATGTGCTGGTGCTTCATATTCTCAGGAATCTGACAAAGTGATGGATGCCCAGCAAAGCTATTTCTTCAGAGGTCTGGAGCCCGTCTCTTGTTTAAGTTGAGGAATTGAAGACGATTCATCCGATGCAGTCTTGTGCTAACAAACCCAAGATGACTGAAGCAAAATGGGTGCCCAGATAGCCCTGAGAAACACCCAAGGCTTGCATGAAATCCTGGATCTGAGCTTTAAGGTGCCCTTGCAAAGAAATTCTGAGGCTTCATTTTAGGTTTTGTTTTTTTTTGAGTATAATTGCTTTACAATGTTGTGTTAGTTTCTGCTGTAAAATAGCAGTGAATCAGCCATCAGTTCAGTTCAGTAGCTCAATCGTGTCTGATTCTTTGTGACCCCATGGACTGCAGCACACCAGGCTTCCCTGTCCATCACCAACTCCTGGAATCCANGACTGGATGCCATGATCTTAGTTTTCTGAAGTTGAGCTTTAAGCCAACTTTTTCACTCTCCTCTTTCACTTTCATCAAGAGGCTCTTTAGTTCTTCTTCACTTTCTGTCAGCTGCAACCATCTCCCGGATGGGAAGATGTGTGTCTTGGACTTGGCTAATGAGAGCCAGCATTCCCCTGGCTATGGAGATTGGTTTCAGAGGTTAGTCCATGGATTTTTGATGACGCTACTAGGAAAGAGAAAGTCTCTTTTCTGCTGAAGTATCTGAGACATAAGTGTTAACATTTTGGAGCAATTACAGGAATGAGTTTGCTTAAAAAGGAAACTAAAACAAAGGAACACAGAGGCTAGAGATAAAGAGAGTTCTCGACAGATGAATGGATACAGAATGTGCAGTGTATGGTGGAATCCTGCGGCTGCTGCTAAGTCGCCTCAGTCGTGTCCGACTCTGTGCGACCCCATAGACGGCAGCCCACTGGGCTCCTCCAGCCCTGGGATTCTCCAGGCATGAATACTGGAGTGGGTTGCCATTTCCTTCTCCAAGTGGAATACTACTCAACCATAAAAAAGAATGAAATAATGCCATTTGCAGCAATGTGGATAAACCTAGAGATTATCATACTAAGTGAAGTAAGTCAAAGACAAGTATCATAAAATATAACTTATGTATGGAATCTTAAAAAATGATACATATGAACTTATATACAAAACAGAAATAGACTCACAGACAGAAAACAAACTTACAGTTACCAATAGGGAGGGGGCAAGGGGTAAATTAGGGATAAACACACACACAACTGTGTTTAAAATCAATAACCAGCAAGAACCTACTGGACCACAGGGAATTATACTCAGTGTTTTGTGATAACCTATTAAGGGAAAATAATCTGAAAAAGAATAGGTACATATGTATAACTGAATCACTTTGCTGTCTACCTGAAATGGACGTAACATTGTAAATCAACTATACTTCAATTAAGAAAAAAAGAGAATTAGAATCTGGATGATCACTTTTCAGCAGTCAGATGATCACCTAGATCCATCCATACCTGATTTCCTCTTGTATGGAAATGTATTATTTTTGAGGGGAGGGTTGGTGGATTTCTATGATGTGCAGTTGAAAAGGCCATGATAAATATACAGACATTTCATCATTTCTCCCTCTGTCTATCTCCAAACACAGTCTGTCTCCATGATACAGATGACAACATAGTACAGCATTGTGGTTTAGTGATGACCACATAGCTTCATAGTGTGCTCATTGGCTACGAAGACTGGAGACACTTTGCCCCCTCAGTTATATTTCAGACCCTTGGAGTAGGTGCGAAGTCTCAAATATCTCTTCTCTACATGCTCAGCACGCACAGATTCTTAAACAGTAGGTGTCCAATAATTGCTCACCAGTGTAATGGGATTATAAAAAAGGACTTCTCTATTTTGAAATTTGACCCAAAGTTCAAAGCTGAAGATAGTAAAGGCTGTTGAGTACTCACACACGCTAAAGAAAGGAGTTGAGCCTACTGACAGCATTTGCTACAGGAGGCCTAAAACTAGTTCTTATCATCTCTAACAGAAGGTAATGAACATGGAGGAAAAATGAGTACGAGAATTTCCTTAAAGAAAGTTGTCAACAGTTGTATCTTTATCCTTATGTTATTCTCTCTTCTGGGATTACCCTTCCCACTTTATATAAGAGGTGAATTTCAGTTATCCTTTAAAATTCAGCTTAAGTGTTGCCTCCTCTAGGAAGTTCTCCATGGTTTCTATAGCTAGAACTGTTGTTCTTGTCCTCTGACCTTCATCCCAGAGCGCTCAATAGTTACTTAGGTTCTAGTACTTGAAAATACACACTAATACTGTAATAATGTGACAGGTGTCATTTCTGTTAGCCTGGCCCAGACATGTACTATTATTCATCCCTTCACCTTTGAAGGATAAAGAGATTAAAAAGGATGAGATGTTTGGATGGTATCACGGATTCAATGGACATGAGCCTTGGGCAAATTCTGGGAGATGACGAGGAGCAGGGAAGCCTGAAAAGCTGCAGCCCATGGGGTCGTAAAGAGTCGAACATGCCTGGCAACTGAACAACAGCAACAACCCTTGAAGGAGGGGAACAGGGTGGACTGTAAGTGACTCCAGCAACCTTCCTGCCAAAAGTAAAGTCTTTTGTCTTGCTTAGAACTTACCCAACTTTGGATATGCAGAAATGGAGCTGGATCTGAGTATGGAAGTAAAGCTAGAGAGAAGGGCATCTGCAGGGAAATGGAGTAAGGAGGATTTGGAATTCCAAGAGGTGGAGCCTAGAGAGGAGAGTGGGGCAGGGATGAGAAGAAGAGATGGAGGGGGTAGAAACAGAAGGAGGAGCTGGGGAAAATCTGCCACACACAGCAAAGGGCTAGGGAAGGGCTAGGGATGCAATCCTCCAGTGGTGGGAGGTGGTCAGAGATTTTGGACATCAGGGATGTCTAACTATTAATTTGAACTGTTTTGCATGTCTGCAATGTAAGCCCTGCTAGTATCTTTTAGTTCTAAATGAAAGCTTTAACATAACCAGAAACCTTATGAGATTATTTTTGTTTTTATTTTACTTGATCTGAAATAAGGAAAAGGGCAAAATTTGTACAAGGGTGGACTGTATTAAAAAAAAAACAAAAACACAGTGATTAACAAACAGTAGAAGTTAACCCCTGACATTCAAGGTGACAATGAGATCATAAGTTCCCTGGAGGCGACAGACATCCTGGGTGGGGTTTTGGTTTCTCTAAGGCATGGAATGGGGGCTTTGAGCCTGTCTTGTATAGAACTTATGGGGCAAGGGGATTCCCGGCGACACTGTTTTCCATGCTCCCGGCTGAGTGGTTCTCAAAGTATGGTTTGTGGCCACACATGGAAACTTGTAAGAAATGCAAATTCTTGGGTTCTGCCCCAAACCCACTGAGTCAGAAGCTGACAGTGGAACCCAGCAACCTGAAATTTACAAGCCCTACCTGTGATTCTGCTGCGTGCTAAATTTGTGAATGGCCTGGCAAGCCCTCAGTAGCTTTGTCTGAAATTAATGAACAAAAAACTTGTGGAAACACAGCGCCCTCATGGTAAGCCTCTATTTTTATATCTTTAATTTTTTTAAAAAACTCTATGCTGAATCATAATTCATCAACAGCTAGGCTTTGAACTGTGCTTGACTGGCTTCCTCTCTAACAACCTCCAGTCGGACCACTCACATCCCAGGGTATAGGTTGAGTGTGGCTGCCTTTGGGTAATGCAATGAAAGTGGATATTCTGAGGCCTCCCTGGGCCCACAGCCCAATGGCAGACTGCCCACTGGACCCCAAAACTGTTTTTCTGTTCTTTGCTGGGTATAGTGAGGATAAACATGTCCAGGGACTTAGGGGAAAAAAAATCATTCACCCTGGCAGATTCTCCCAGAGAGGTACAGTTCTTTGCCTGTCAAGCTAGGATATTAAATGAAGCAATTTTCATCAGATAACACATCTTCTGGTTCATGTAAACGTCCCACAAATCGCTGAGCTCGTAACTCAGCCTGATTGAAAGTGAGCCGCTAATCCATTTCCCTTTGTAGATGGGTTGTAGACTAGCTGGGGGCTTGTCCCTTGACCAAGAGTCTTGTGACAACCATGCTAGTCACCCCCTCCTCGCCCCCCCCGGACTCTGTCTGGCTCCACATCCAGTCCCCCTGGCCTCAGACTATGTGGGCACAGGAGACCTGGCTCCCTGACATCATAGAGGAGAAAGTGTCCAGTGCCCACTGCAGGACACGCTCGAAGGAAAGTTGGGATGTGGATGGCATTTGCTATGATGGCTTCCACCTCCCTTTTGACAGTTTTCCTCAGGTCAAGTCCAGGGCCCTGATCCTTCCTCCTATTCCATCCCCTCAAATGTAAGCATGATGGTGAAAGGAATATGGTGTGTGTGTGTGTGTGTGTGTGTCTGGAGAAGAGATGCATTCCCAAGTATTATTGCTCCTTCTTTCTGAGTGTACGGGGAAATCTATGGCTATGCCATCCTGAACATGCCCGATCTCGTCTGAGTGTTCAGGGAAGAAGGGGGAGTGGGAGCCCCCCCTAATATGATTGAGCACAATCATATCCTGAAAGATTGACTAGACCCCCAAGGTGGTCAAATTCAGCTCAGCACACCAGCTGCCCTATTTGTCACTTCCATGCTCTCACCTCAGTATCCATCACTGTGCCCAGTACAAAATAGTTGGTCCACAAGGTTTGTTGATTGAATGAATGGACTAGAGGTTAAGAGCCCTAATTGCAAAAGGAATCCTACTTTCCCAGGTGGAGCTACACACCCAACTGATTAAACCCAGCCTCTGCCCATATTTGTGCTGTAAAAAAATGGAAAAGTATCAAAATCAATCTGAGCACTCACCTGGGACGTCATCTTCCCAGATCGCTTGGCATGTGCCCGCCCGCCTAGGGTTACCGGGTAAGAAATAGGATGTACAGCTGAATTTGAATTTGAAATAACAAATATTTTTCTTAATATAAGCATATTCCAAATATTGCATGGGATATACTCATCTAAAAATATGTTTTTGAAAACCAAATATATATAATATATATATTTTGGATACTAAATAAACTTTTACAATGACATAAAAGCATGATGCAAGGGTATTTATTCTGTTAAGATCACTCCATATTATATATAGTGTCACTAAGACATTTGTAATCACATAGGCAATTTCTGTGGGTTTTATTATTCTCCTTGTTGCTCCAATGCAATATTAATAATTTTCTTTTACAAATGCAAAAAATTCAATGATATAATATTCAATTAGCTGAGGGTCTTATATTTTTATTTGCCAAAACTGGCAAGCCTATCCTCTAATAATCTGAAAAATTATGAGCTGACTTTTGAGGAATCCCTAACTCCTTCATCTCCCTCTTCTCAAACCACAATTAGTATTTGTTGATACTGTAATTCTATAGCATAATTAATTTAATCTGGCATGCAAATATATTTTCCCCTCCCTGTTAGAGGAAATTGTATGCTGTAAACGGCAAAATCAATTTTCTTCCAAACTTATGCTTACTATAAAAATCTAAATGTGTGAAGAAAAATGTGAAGTAAATCATAATTCAACTATCTAGGGATACTCTCAGTTACTCCATATTGCTTTCTTTTTTTTTGTCTGTGGACACAAGTATTTTTTCATAGTTAAGAAAAAATATGTAATTCTGTGTCATGATTTTTACTTAGCATTTATGCCTTATATTTATAGGTATGTTCTGTGTCATTAAGAACTCTGACATTGCCTTTTAAAATGATTAAATAATATTTCACTGTATGGATATACATGGGGTTTTAAATTTTTTGGTAGTATAAGTGACACAGAGATGATCATATGCATTAAGCTGCTTTCAGACTTCCAAATAGGTTCAGAGGTGTTAATCTTGAACAATAAAACAGAAGTTATTTTTAACCAGAGACATGGATTGATTTAGGAGTAGAAAAAAAATTGAAGAAGAACTAAAGAGCCTCTTGATGATAGTGAAAGAGGAGAGTGAGAAACTTGGCTTAAATCTCAACATTCAGAAAACAAAGATCATGGCATCCAGTCCCATCAATTCATGGCAAATAGATGGGGAAACACTGGAAAAAATGGCAGATTTTATTTTTTAGGGCTCCAAAATCACTGCAGATGGTGACTGCAGCCATGAAATTAAAAGACGCTTTCTTCTTGGAAGAAAAGTTATGATCAACATAGACAGCATGTTAAAGAGCAGAGACATTACTTTGCCAACAAAGGTCTATCTAATCAAGGCTATGGTTTTTCCAGTAGTCATGTAGGGATATGAGAGTTGGACCATAAAGAAGGTTGAGGGTTGAAGAATTGATGCTTTTGAACTGTGGTGTTAGAGAAGATTCTTGAGAGTCCCTTGAACTGCAAGGAGATCCAACCAGTCCATCCTAAAGGAGATCAGTCCTGGGTGTTCACTGAAGGACTGATGCTGAAGCTGAAACTCCAATACTTTGGCTACCTGATGCGAAGAGCTGACTCATTTGAAAAGACCCTGATGCTGGAAAAGATTGAGGGCAGGAGGAGAAGGGGACGACAGAGGATGAGATGGTTGGATCCCATCACCGACTCAATGGACATGAGCTTGAGTAAACTCTAGGAGTTGGTAATGGACAGAGAGGCCTGATGTGCTGCAGTGCA